ATCATTATATCAGACTTTGTACCATTAGTGTTCTTTACCATTAAGGAATATTCATAATTTATGAAATATTGCTATGAGTTTACTGCTTCTAATGTAATTCACAAGCGGCGCTGAAATAATAATAACAATAATGATAACAGCAAGTTTGAAATAGATTGATTCAAGTTTAAAAGAAAAAAAATGGCATAAAATATCTTTGTCAAATAAATAAATTAGTTATCTCCCTTTTCGATTTAAATGTAATTTACAGGCTCCCTTTTTCGATTTACACGTTATTTACAGGCTCCTTTTTTTCAATTTTCATGTTATTTACAGCCTCCCTTTTTTTATTTACACGTTGTTTACAACCTCCCTTTTTTATTTATATGTTATTTACAGTAATTTGGCAAACTCTCTCTATTAAATTTACATGTTATTTACGGCTTTCCAGGTTAAATCACAAGAAATATACAGGCCATTTACAGTATTTGCAGGGACAGTTTACATGTGATTTACATGATCTTAGGGCTTTGCTTTGAAAAATTTACAGTGTTTTCTCCATCATTTTCATGTTTCACCTGAAATATTTACATGTTTTTTTACATGGAAACTCCAAAACATGCAAAAGGGAAAAAATCATGTAAATTATTCTTCACAGTCTCTTTTTGATAATTTACATGTTAATTACATGTTATTTACATACTTTGTAAATTTATAACTTTTCCAGTAATGCATGGTGTTGTCATATTTCGCTCTTTATTGAATTCAGACTCTTCAGGAAGTAATCTTCCTCACAACAATCAGACCTATTATGGTCAGAACGCTGGAGAATCATCTTTGCCACTGGTAGCGAAGATTGCGGGCAGCTCGCTTTTGGTTCTGCTATCTTTAAGTGCAGTACTATGGTTTGCCTTTAGATATTGTAGAAAGAGTCGGTGAGTATAACTTAGAAAGAATACTCTCGGTCGGCTCTAACTAATAATACGTGTGTTTTATTCAAGGAAAAACTAGGAGGGTAGGCAACGTTTAGGTCACTTGTGTGACCTATAAACTTGCTGCAACACAATAAAAAGTTTAATGCTGCGGTCTAGACCACAAAAAGTAATACCAATAGATATTAATTAACAAAAAATTGCAAAATAAATATTTTACATTCCCTATTCTTGTGCCAAATAACCAAAGAAACATCAAGAAAGTACTGTACAGAAAAATTAATACTATCTTAAATAGAACTGCTTTATCATTTTGTGCACGCTCAAGAGGAGTCGATATCGATGACGTCAACATGACAACAAAATTAAAAACGCTTATCGTGAATTTTCGGGCGTTTTATTCCGTGGAATTTTGTTAAAAAATTAGCAAACTGGTAATAGATATTTTGCCTTAGTTGGAGCTCGTGTTTCAGGGAAATCTGTCAGACCGGTATTTCCACAGCAGGAAATTTCGGAGAAATTTCGCAGAATGAATAAAACCCTACAAACTAGGGTGCGTTAGCCGATAAATGATTACTCTAAGTAGCCATCTTAAGTACTTCCTATGTTGAAAGCTCGAGCTCTTGATTCTTATATACATGTTTTCAGATCCAATTCAGAACTCTCTGATCCGTTTGAAGTGCTTTTTGATGACATTTCCCTGGATAAGATTATCGGAGAAGGAGCTTTTGGGAAAGTATACAGTGGCAGGCTTTTAAAAGAAACTATGGAGGTTGGAAAAGGAAGGAAACCTTCGCAGAGCAAGACGGATAAGGAGCAGCAGCAAATGAAGATGGGCCTGACCGTTGCTGTGAAAATGTTACAAAGTATGATTTGGTTACGACAGCGTTCTATAACCTATAAATATAGATAAGGTTCTCAAAACGACCTTTCAAAGTCTTGGCATAGGCAAAATATAAAGTGGCAATGAGTGATATATTTTGAGTTAACCATTTTGGCAATCTCAGGAAATAGGCGCAAAATTGGGATCCTGTTTAATGTTTCAGTTTTAATTGATGCTCGCCCATGTATTTGTGACGATTATGTTTAAAACTTGAAGTGAAAAATTCTTTTTTATTTTTGCCGTACTAGATGGTGCCACAGAAGAACAAATGCAAGAATTCCTAGAGGAAATACAGCTCATGAAACAAATCGGGTATCACCTGAACATATTGAACTTATTGGCCTGCTGTACTATGACAAGTCCCATGTTCCTTGTAGTGGAGTTTGCAAAGAATGGGGACTTACTTCACTACCTCCGAAGAAGAAGAGAGCAGGTGATGTGAGATAATTAAAAATCTTACCTCCCTTTTAGTTTGGTCAGTAAGTTTTAGAAAACCGGTCTACTTACACAAACTGTACTGTTTATTGATTTAATTCAATACAGTTCAACCTCTACTAAAGGCCATCTCTCTACAACTGCCACTTTGTTCTGTGTCCAAGAGAGGTTTGACTTTATTCTCTATAAAATTTGGAAACACGAGCAAATTCGAATGTTCAGGGACAGTTGAACGGGTGCAGAAAAATAATTCCGGTCCCTCAGACTATTTTTTGCTTCTTCGAATTGCTTTGTGCTGTCGTTCCCAGCTAGTTATTTACTTATAGTTTTTTACGAAAAAAGTGTCAAGATGTCATAAACAATTCGTTTTTCTGCGCTCGTTATAAGCCAAAATATTATAGCTGTGAATTTCAAGAAAACGCCTCGACCGTATAACGTAGAAAACCATGAAATAACGTTGACTGTAAAACAAAAGTTAAGGACCTTACTCCACCATACTGAAGCTTCTCCTGCTTACCTAATCTTCGGCAGCATAAGCAAGCTAAGTAGAAGCATTACCAGCCCCCCGCCCAGANGTTTGCAAAGAATGGGGATTTACTTCACTACCTCAGGAAAAGAAGAGAGCAGGTGATGTGAGATGATTGAAAATCTTACCTCCCTTTTAGTTTGGTCAGTAAGTTTTAGAAAACTGGTCTTCTTACACAAACTGTACTGTTTATTGATTTAATTCAATACAGTCCAACCTCGACTAAAGGCCATCTCTCTACAACGGCCACTTTGCTCTGTCTCCAAGAGATGTTTGACTTTATTCTCTATAATATTTGGAAACACGAGCAAATTCGAATGCTCTGGCGCAAATGAACGGGTGGAAAAAGATGATTCCGGTCCCTCAGACTATTTTTTTGCTTCTTCGAACTGTTTTAGGCTGTCGTTCTCAGCTAGTTGTTTTCTTATAGTTTTCTATGAAAAAGTGTCAAGATTTTATAAACAATTCGTTTTTCTGCGCGCGCTCGTTATAAACCAAAATATTAAAACTGTGAATTTCAAGAAAACGCCTCGACCGTGTAACGTAGAAAACCATGAGATAACGTTGAGTGTAAAACAAAAGTGAAGGACCTTACTCCACCATACTGAAGCTTCTCCTACTTACCTAATCTTCGGCAGCGTAAGCAAGCTAAGTAGAAACATTAACACCCCCCCCCCCCCCAGATTGTCGCCAGCAGCAAGGTACCCCTACATCCCGGTAATAGTTCTTTGTATAACGTTGCCCAAGCTTATATAATTTGTCAGTAGCCACAATACCTTTACGTGGAGAGAGGCAATGTGAGAGTAAAGACTCGTGCGAACAGAGCCCCTGAAAAACCATAAAACTCTCTACTACTGTCACGGTAATAGATGTCCAAAATGGTAATAGATGGTTCATGGTAATAGATGTCTCTACTACTTTGTTTTACATTTTAGATCAAACAAGCTTTTGAAGAGACGGAAGATGCAGCGCCTCATCATCAAACCGAAGGAGTCATAAATGAAGGGAGCTTATATGAAGTAATTAGTAGTTGCACCCTTTGTTCCATGCAAGAAGAGAGACTGAGGTAACCAGTAGTGGACTGGAGTGCAAATCCTCCAGTCCCTCCTACTAGATGGATTTGTGTTCGGTAGTGCCGAATTCAACTCCTTCTCGCTTTGTGAATAGCACTGAATTCTCAGAACTTACTCTGAATATAACGTCCATTCTGCTGGTAGATTATTTTGATTTCATGCATTTGATTAGAAGGAGTTGTTTGAATTTGTCTCCTTTCAGAACTTTCA